TTTGTGTGTGTGGAATCTGTACAGTTTTCCATGTAAAAATTATGTTATCTTTGAAAATAGGTAATTTTACCTCTGCCTTTCCAATTTGAATGCTTTCATTTTTTTTTTCTTGCCTAATTGCTCTCATCTGAACTGCCAATACTTTGATAAGTAGAAGGGGTGAAAGCCAGCTTGCCTGTCTTACTTCTGATCATAGAGGAAAGGCTTTCAGGTTTTCACCATTAAGTATAATACTAGCTGTGGGCTTTTCATATACAGCATTTACTGTGTTGAATCAATTTTCTTTTATTACTTTTTTGAGTGTTGTAATCATAAAAGTGTGTTGAATTTTGCCCACTATTTTTTCTGTATCAATTGATATGATCAAAAGTTCTTTTTTTCTATTTTGTTAACACAGTGTATTATTCATTTTCCTATGTTGAATCATCATCTACACATTCCAGGAACAAATTTCACTTGGTCAGGCTGTATAACCCATTCAATGTTCTGTTGAATTCAGTATGTTAGCATTTTGTTGAGGATTTTTGCAGCTATGCTAATCAGAGATGTTGTCCAATAGCTTTTATTTATGGTAATTTATTGTCTGTCCTTTGTATCAGGATAATACTGGCCTCATAAATTATTGTTTCCATCACTTCAATTTTTTGGAGGCCTTAGAGAAGGATTCGTTTTAATTTTTCTTTAATTATTTGGTAGAATTCACCAGTGAAGAAATCTGGTGCTGGACTTTTCTTTGATGAGAGGCTTTTAATTATGGATTCAGTCTACTTGCTAGTTATTCATCCATTCAGTTTTTTCCATATATTCATAATTCAGTCTTGGAAGGTTGTGTGTTTCTAAGAATTTATGCATTTTATCTATGGTTTTCAATTTGTTGGCAGACAATGGTTCATATAAATCTCTTAAAATCCTTTTTATTTCTGTAAAATTGTAATGTTCCCTCCTTCATTTCTGATTTTAGTTATCTGGGTCTTCTCTTTTAGTCATCTAGAAGGTTTGTATATTTTGTTGATATTTTCCAAGAACCAATTCTTGGCTTCATTAATTTTCTCTATTGCTTTTCTGTTTTCTAATTCATTTGTCTCTCTAGTATTTCCTTCTACTAGCTTTGGGTTTAGTCTTTTTCTTCTACTTCTACTAAATTAAGATTTTTTTATTTGATATGGTTCTTTTACTTAACTTACATTTTCCTCTGGCACTGCATTTGCTATAGTCCATAGTTTTGGGATGTTGCGTTTACACTTTTATTTGCCTCAAAATATTTTCTAATTTCCTTTACAGTTTATTCTTTGGCATTTATTCTGTAGAAAAATGTGTTCTTTAATATCCACCTATCTGTTAATTTTCTACTTTTCTTTCTGTGATTGACTTTTAGTTTCATTCTATTGTAATTGGAAAAGATACTTTGTCTGATTTTAATCATTTAAAATTTTTTAAGACCTGTTTTATGGCCTATCATATGGTCTATTCTGGAAATATTCCATTTGCATTTGACAAAAATTTGTTTTCTGCTGTTATAGCATGGGGTGTTCTGTGTAAGTCTGTAAAAATCTATTGTCTATAGTCATGTTTAAGTCCTTTTTTCATTATCAATCTTTTGACTGGTTGTTCTATCCATTGTAAAAGTAAGGTATTGAAACCTTCAGCTGTGATCGTACAGCTATTTTCCCCTCAACTGTGTCAATGTTTGCTTCATATGTTTTGGAGTTGATATTTGGTGCATATATATTTATGATTATCATTTCTTCTTTGTGAAATTTAATTAATACATGTCCTTCTTTGCGCCTTGTAATCTTTTTGACGTAAAGACAATTTTGTCTAATATAAGTATAGCTACCTGATCTCTTTTGCTTACCATTTGCATGGAATATTTTTTTTAACTTTTCACTTTTAACCTATATGTGTCCAAAGATCTAAAGTGAATTTCTTGTAGACAGCATATACTTCAGTCCTATTTTCTTATCCTGCCAATATTTGCCTTTTATTGGAAAGCAATTTTTCCAAATGTTTACTCTTAAAGCAATTACAGTCATACATCACTAACAATTGAGATACATTCTAAGAAAGGCGTCTTAAGGTAATTTTGTCATATAAACACCATAAAGCGTACTTACACAAAGCTGAATGGTATAACCTACCACACGCCTAGAATATCTGAGCTAGCCTGTTGCTCCTAGGCTACAAACTTGTACATAATGCTACTGTACTGAATACTGTGGGTAATTGTTACACAATGGTAAGTATTTGTGTATCTAAATGCAAAAAGCGCACAGTAAAATATACTATGCAATCTAACAGATTTCGAAATAAGGCATTTTCAATGGATGGAGCTTGCAGGACTGGAAATCACTCTGGGTGACTCCGTGAGTGAATGGTGAGTGAATGTGAAGACTTGTATACTACTATGGCTTTATAACACAGTACACCCAGGCCACACTAAATTTATTTTGAAATATTTTTCTTCCACAATAAATTAACATTGCCTTACGATAACTTTTCTACTTTATAACCTTAAATTTTTCTTAATTCTTTTGTAAGAACACATAGCTTAAAACACAAACATTGTATAGCGATACAAAAATTCTTTATGTCCTTATTCTGTAAACTTTTTCCTATTTTAAAAATTATTTTATTTATTAAACATTATTGTTAAACAGTAAGACACACTTGTAATTCTAGTACTTTGGGAAGCCAAGGCAGGAGGATCGCTTAAGGCCAGGAGTTTGAGACCAGCTTGGCCAACATATTGAGACTCCATCTCTACAAGAACGAAAATAAACAACGAAGACACAGCACATGCTTTAGCCTAGTCCTACACAGGGTCAGGATCATAAATAACACTATCTTCCTATTCCACGTCTTGTTCCCTGGAAGGTCTTCAAGAATAATAACACCCATGGAGCTTCATCTCCTATAGTAACAATACAGTCTTCTTGAAAGATCAATATTTCTTTACATCGCCTGCCTGTTGCTTGCTTTAATACTCCAAACTGCAGGAACATCTCTGGCTGGTGCTAACAGATTCTGGGCCTTTCTTTCCATTCTGCCTACAGACCACTCACATTGACTTCTTACCTTCTCAGTGACAGCTACTTATAACATAGCCTCTTTTTCCTCCCCCNAAGAGCCATTGTGCTATTGTTTGACCCATGAGTTGAAATAGCTGCTTTCTTCATGGAACCCCATTTTAACTGAAAGAGCAACTGACAGACAAACCAGAGTTAATCAGAATTGAATATTTAGCAAATATAAAGTGAAAGGAGCAAACCTGGCATTCTGGGGAAAAACAAATTGACAGTATTTTGCCAAAGATGAAACTTAAGCTTTCAAATCAAAATTAGAATTTTGGAACTTGTATCTATCACTGTGAGTGGGCTAAATTTCAGGATAAATCTTGAAGAGTCTAGTAACTTCCTCCTGAGGTAAGCTGCCTATTCCTGCTCTACTGCATAGAGGAATGGAAGAGTTTGGTTATATTAACAGTAGGCAATCATTATTGTTACCATTATTTGTAAAAAGATAAAAAGTTATTTTACTTTTTATTTTTGTTTGAATTTAGTGATCCTTTCTGAGAATCACAGAATAATATTTTGCTAGTTTACAAAGACTAAAAATAAAACCTGGTAATGAGAATATGAAAAAAAAAAAAAAAAAAAAAAAAAAAAAAAAAAAAAAAAAAAAAAAAAAAAAAAAAAAAATCCAGGAAAAAATGCCATACTTGTGATTCACTCATACTTTGTTTTCCTTTCTTTCTTTCCTTTCAGAGACAGGGTCTTGCTCTGTCACCCAGATTACAGTGCAATGACACGATCACAGTTCACAGCAGCCTCAAGCAGTCCTCCCATCTCGGCCTTCCAATTACAAGTACATGCTAGGTCTTTTTCCACCATGCCTGGCTAATTTTTATTTATTTATTATTTTTTGTAGAGACGAAGTTTTGTTCTGTTGCCCAGGCTGGTCTCAAACTCCCAGACTCAGGCAATCCTCCCACCTTTGTCTCCCAAAGTGTTGAGATTACAGGTATGGGCCACTGTGTCCATACTCCTCTGTATTAATGTTTATTAATAATAATTACAGAGGAACAATTTATTGAGCTCTTACTATATGCAAATTACTCTACTTCGCCTGATACGTAGTTTTCTCTAACCCTGTCACCCAATCTGTACATTAGTCTGTGTTACACCCATTTAATAGAAAACAGGGCAGACCTGCACAGTGCCACCATCAGGGCAGGGCAGCTGGGCTCACCCTGTTTGTGTGGCTCCACAGCTTCATCCTCTTTACACCACACCATAATGTCATCCTGTGAGTAATGAGGCTATACTGCCCAACTAGCCATAAATGAGGAAAAGATTTACATATCCCCTATAGAGAAGTGAATACCTTTAGGAGATGTTTTCTAACCCTTGACTGACAAGCCCCTAAAACCATGAAGGCAGCACTCCCTCCCAATAAAGCCCTGATGATCCAATGTGACTCCAGCCCCCCGCCCATGGTTTATTGGAGTAGGAAAAGATGCCTGGATCAAGACAGGCCAATGAGATTTTCTCATTACAACACTGAAATACAGACTGTGTGACCTCTGGTCTACAAATGCCCAGCTTCCTGTTATTTTCTCCAAAGCCTTAATTGCTTCAAATCTATAAGAGGCTTCTGGGTGCTTTAACTAAGTTCTGTTTCTTTGTTACGTTGTTGTCTAGTTTTTGTAAATGATTATATAAGCCGGCTCAAGCTGGTCTCTGTTACTTGAAACACAAAGAAATTTACTTAAAAGTTAATCATCATAAAAGCAGAGATGAGAGAGGGTATTGAAGGTGACTCTGGGTAGTATATCTCACTTTAAGTACCCAGTGAGTGACCACCACTGTTAGCTGGCAAACTGTGAAGTATTTCTTCCATCTACTCCACTATCCAAACACCAAACTACCAACCTAGGCCACACAAGTGGAACAGGAATTCTTACTCTAGAACTTGAGACTCTATTCATAATGCCTCATTTAATGCCACCCAGGTCCGTGGTACATGCTAGCTCTTTTTCCACCCATTACAGACCAACATCTTTTTATGTTGCCTGACTGTTGCTTGCTTTAATTCTCCAAACATTTGCAGGAACGTCTTGGGCTGGGCCTTCCTTTCCATGATGCCTACAGACCACTCATTGACTTCTCACCTTCTCAGGGACAGCTACTTACACCATACCCTCTCTGTCCTCCTCAGAAAACACCTGATACATCCAGGTATAATGATATAATCTCAGAGAAAACAAACTGCTTGCCAACCCACCACTCACCAAGGTTTCCAGTATGTTTATTATGATGGGAATGATAGCAGAGTCTAAAACGGCCCTTCCATTCTAAAGGCATCCTTTCAATTGCTTGTAAATCTCTCAAATTTCTTTTTCTACTGCAATATCTCACATCTGGGGACCAGGCTGGAAGCAGATTGCTTTTGGAGGTTTTCACAAAGATCTATTGAGCTCTTTTAGAGAGTTATCTAAATGTGGGGAGGGAAAGGCATTTTCAGCTGTGACGGCATGAGACGTTTTTTGTATGCTTGAGCAATTCAAAAAGGACTTTGTTTTCAAACTTGGCATGT